GATAGGAAGGTTGCTGATTGACGCCCGCTCTCGGTTCACGCAGTTCGTCGCGTTGTGTGTGTGTTGTGTGGAGTGGCGGACTGGTGGGCTGGGGACGGGCTGAAACAGCACCTTCCACGGCCCTCTCACGCAAGTGGGAGACACGCCGTTCAACCCCCGTTTTGTGAAATCCTGGTGTTTGTGTTTGTATGGGGGGCCAGGTCGTGCTGTGGCGCGCGCAGGCATGGTCAGTCGACCATGTCAGCCACCGCACCCATTCCCCACTCCAGTCTGCTGACCGGCTCGGACAGCGGCTGGGGTGTGGGGATGGGAAGGGAGAGTGAGGTCGACGACTCAGCGCACTTTCTCCTCACTATAAACAATCTGACGCGCTTGACGCTATCACGGTGCGCTAAAAGCCGTGGCTTGGAAGGTTGCCAACTGACGGGGTATCTTGGACCTCCTCCTTGACTGGAGGCAGTCTGAGAGTCAGGCTGCAATGGCTTCTTTTTAATGTGGCCTTTATGGCACTCCCATCACAGTGTGGGATCCGAGCCAGGCGTTGGCGGCACGCCTAGGTGCGGCTTCGGTCGTGCCACCCTCCAAATCTCTGTTGTGATTGGTGGAAATCCTGGTCATTGGTTGTGTGGACCAGGGGGTGTGGTGGAACGCCAAGGTGAGGATACGTCCGAGCAATCCACCTTCGGCCTCCCTCGTCTCCGGTCTTCTTGACTCTGTCTTGACACCGGGCTCAGGCAGGGGAGGAGGAGAGAGTGTAGGTAGATGCAGCGCAAGTCTACCCGCACTATAAACCCCTGCGAAAGTCACCGTCCCTGCTCCCATTGCTGCTGCAAATGTGGGGCACACGGTGGACATCATCGAAACCGATGGTCGAACTGTCGGTGGTGGTGGTGGTGGTGGTGGTGGTGGTGGTGGTGGTGGTGGTGGCGACTGAGACGGGGATGGTCGCAATTGTCTTTTGCGCCCGGATAGCGATGGTGTCCTGCTCCAGCGGGCCGGGACTGAGACACGGTATTTCAGCGTCGTGAGGTGAAAGGGAACGATTTCTGGGATGCTGCTGACCGTGGTCCTGGTGGTTTTCGCCGTGGATGTATTGAGCGGGCTCTTATCACGGTGAACCTGATAGGTAATTTAGTGGTTATGTAGTGTGCCTCGACAAGAGTGTAAGAGGCTCGGATTTGTGGTGTTTCAGTACTGAGGTACCGGGCAACCGTATGTCTTCTAGGATTCTTGGCGAACTTACTCTAGGACTATTCTAGGCAACGGTAGGTCGAAGGACCCCAATTAGCTGTGGACCGTGTATATACTTACAAAATCTAGTTAAATACTGATGACTGACAGCTGTAGCCAATAACTGAGAAACAATAAACGGAGCATGAATTGAGGGGTAGCAGAAATGTCTGCCACGTAATAGACCGAGTTTTTCGAATAGTCAGACACTCTTTGAAGATGGAACGGTCATTTCGGTTAGCATCAGTTTGACCAGCGAAAATGACGTTTTGCCTCATATAAACGTTCTACTATAAGAATATAAGTAGACATGTTAATATTTTCGAAAGCGCATAGATCCGACCGCATCTCGGGTTTTCAGTGTCGGACTTCAGGCAGGAAGTAGGCCTGAATCTGCCAGCGATGAATCTTTACTTGGTTCGCCTAAAAAATAATATGGACGAATAAGTGGAGTACTTGTAATCAAGTCCCTTATGGTTTGTGGGTGATAGTTCGGGTCATGGACCAATTTGAACGAAGGACTGCCTTTGTAAGTCATAAATGAACGTTGGGGCACGAAATCGCACAGATTTGCCGATCTGAGTTTCAAAAAACCGATAAAACTTTTGGTTCTCTAAAAATAACCGCTGTATCAGCAAATTGACTCCCACGGCTAGTATCAGGCAAAAAAGACAATTTTAAATTTCGGCAAGCTCTGTTTGGTAGAACTCTCGAGGGTAAATCACTCTTCTCAAAGAAAAACGCGCTCAGATACACAGTCGAGGCCTGGGACGGGTATCAGTATAGGAAATTGCCCGAATATATCATAGTGTCCATTTTCTCTCAAATTTGTGAAAAATTTGATCGAAAAAATTGCTTAGGCAAATTTACTCGAACGGGCTGGACGTTCAAGACGTTCGGGAATTTGCATATCGGATACGGCCATCAAGATTCACGAGTTAGGTCGCGTACTGTATACTGCGACTACTGATATGAAAGAAGGCCGAGGGTCCAAGTAACTAGTAAATGTCAACAGGTGAGGATGGGTCACGCGCATTTACGTCCTAGAAACAACTGCGATGACAATACACCACGAACGGTTGCAACAGTCTACGCATGGTTTTTGGGCTGGGGCTGGAAAACAAGAAGAAACAAGTAAGTCGTGCTGATTAAGCACATCCGGTGTGCCAAAGCTGGCACGGTAACTCAAAACAGTGAGTAGTAAACATTTAACTAGTCTCATAGCTGCCTGGACTGAATGAAAAATTCCCGGCAGCAGAGCTTCACGCATCAAATAAACATGGTCACAGGCGTTCCATCCCATCCAAAGTAAGACGAAAAGGCCACCGAAGGTCGATGAATGTGACATTGGTGAACTACGGCAACGGTTACGTATTCAATCCTACTGAACGAGTCTAGGTTTCTTCAACTTCCGGTGGGAGGTTTAATGCGATGTTTGAACCATCACGTGAAAAAAACTCCAGCGCTGTTGCAGATGCTACTAATGCACACTCCTTCCTAGAATAGCGATGATTAATACGATCTGATCGTAGTACCGTATGCAGAAATATTGAGTATTTTCCACATGAAATACTTCGAGGTTCTAGCCGCCAAAACATGTGGGAACCTGCGGCCGCCCCTAACAAATCTCCGGCCGCCAAAAACATGCAAGCAGTATTTGGACTTACACCTTTTCCACAGACTACGTCACCAATGTTTTTTCGAATTATGCTGTTTCTACACATACAAACGATATATTAAAGTTCCGCAGATGGCTGATTGAAGCGAACAGGCGAGTCCCAGGTAGCAGTTCAGAAGATGAAGATGCGATCACTGGGACAAGAAGTTTATTTGCCTGACGTTTCGGATTCTCACTCGAATCCATCATCATCATTCGAGTGAGAATCCGAAACGTCAGGCAAATAAACTTCTTGTCCCAGTGATCGCATCTTCATCTTCTGTTTCGCAGATGGTTTTGAGTGTAATTTAGTCCGCTTCAAATATTCCCTTCTACTCGAAACTGTCATGTCTGGCGCATATAGTTGATCGTCTTCTTTTCTACGAAATCGCCCTTCCGTACGAGCAGGTATTGAGACGGTAAGCTGGCGGGTCAAAACTTCAGAGGTGCATGGTGCACCTGAAGCAACGATTTTTCCCAGTTCAAACTCGAGCACCAAATTATATGCCAGGGCGACAAAGATGAGATACCTGGCCTATCTCACGACAGATCAAACGAGATTGCTAAATGTGTTTTCATATTGACACAACTGGGAAAAACTCGGCGCCTCGGTGAGATTCGAACGTACGCAGTAAGGGGAAGGTTTTAGTACAGCCGAAGTAGTTAGTGTTCGGGCGCTCCTTTTCACGAAGATGGTCGTTTGGGTCACATTTGAAGACTCATTCAAATACAAAACTTCATTTTGGGAAAAAATGGCTGTCCACAACGAAAGTCAGCAACGAATATGCCTTTGATCAATAAGGAAACTGCCCTTAATAAGTTACCTCTTTAAGAGGTGCTTTATTACTGCACTCCGTTGACGGATCCTTTCAATGAAAAAGTCGCTCAGATGCGTAACCGGAGTCTAGGATATGTATTGGCATAGGAGATTGCACAAATATATTCCAACGTCCATTTTTTACTAAAATTTACTGACATTTTACTTTATATAATTACGTAAACACAGTTTCTGCACAAGGACACTTTATTGAAGGAAGTGGATGAACAAACAAAATGTGCAAGGTTAAAGACGTCCAGAAATTCTTGCATCAGTTTCCGTTATCTGATTTAATGAGATAGGTCACGTACTGTATGTTGTGCGACTATCAATATTACAACCCAGCCTAAGTAACCCTTTCCGACCTAAAGCACATTTCAGAATTTCGATTAATATTTCACAAGATAGACCAGATACTGTACTGGGCAAAGTCCACCCAGCTGCAGCGTGCACAACCCGGTTGTAAGCATGTGTTTTAGATTGGTGCCAATTATCAGCTGGCTAACAGGCGGTATTAGTACTTGCTTCGGAATGTGTTGCATGTGGGAGTGACGTTCAGCGACCTAGCTACAGAACGTATCACACCCCGCTGTGTCTTGGTGCTCAACGTGGAGCACTCGCCTGCAGTCACATGGCGACCAGTGTGCCAGAAGAGTACCGAATAGGGAAGGGAGGACTGATACGACAGCTTTCCGGTCCATTAGCAATCATCAGCCAGCCATCGGCTGAATCCGAAAACTACTTATCCGTAGTCGATTCCCATGCTGATGTCCCACTCCTCGACTCCCTAAACTGACAACTTTTTTGTGATTCCCGCACGCTCCCTCCAGTCAGTTCTCCTGTTTCATTTAAAAAGGACATCCCTAGCACTAGAGGTAGCCCGCCACACTCTGTCCTTTTTCTAGTCGGTGGTTAGGCAGTTTACCAATTTGACTGGCCGAGACGCAACAAGCCCGCTCCAACCCCAGAGGGAAATTGTGATCTTGTGAGCGCTCAGTCCTGGCGCACGCCTTTTGAAGTGTCAGATCGAAGTGAAAAATCCAGAATTTAGCATTCAGATTAGAGTATTATTTTCACAAACCGTCCCCCCCCGCGGTCACCACAAATGATCACGTCGAGCCGACCGTCGGTTTTGTAGTCAGGCAAACAGGCATTTATTTGATGTAAGATAAAAAAAGCATTGCAAAAAGAGATAACATCTTGAAAAAGGAGAAAAGACGGCACAGAAATAATAAAGTAGTCGAAGAAAAGTTATGAAATCAAGTCTCAGGCGAAGGGGCAGACAGCACTTTGAAGTCAGCCTGAGGTCTTGGCGCGCTCTTTAGCGAATTGTTCCTCCAATTCATCGTTCCTCGTCTTCTGTATTTTCAGTAGTTCATCCTGGGGAGGGGGGAGGAAGAGGGACAAGTCGGTAAAGGGGGGAGCGATTTCATTGACAGAGCGTGCCAGAGGAGGTAGTACAAGTTCCGTTCTCTAACCACCAAATCGGTCACTACGGTGGTGGAAGTATGAGAATTTGCGTAATAGTAGGCCATGGCCACTGTGCCAGAGCTATCATTTATATTCGGGTCTGGGGGTAAATTAAAGCCTTGGAGTCTTAGAGACTGTAATGCTTCTTCTTTGAGACCGATTATTCATTAAAAAGGCAACAGTAGGGTTAAGAGATCCACTTAGCTGTCGGTAGACTGCGAATCGTGTCATACGGAAATGGTGGCAGTGAGGGCTTTACGAATGAGCAGCACGCAGCTGACCAAGTGAAAGAAAATATGGAGATTGCTTTGATTTCTGTCGAAAGTCCTATCGCACGCTTTCGTATGACAACGGAACTGAACGCGTTAATTTTTTAAGAAATGACAGAGCTAGCATAATGGTTTGAGGTCATGGGGAGTTACTGTTGTTGGCAGTGTAGTATCTGCAACGGCTTGCAAATGGGCGTCAAGATAAAATCCCATATGACACGATGTACAGTCTACCGACAGCTAAGTGGCGTCCTTCTCCCTACCGTTGTCTTCGTGCGTGCGCAACACAAGGCGACTTGACTTCCGCAACACACTACCCACACTCAGAACACTTACTTCCGAGCAAGCATAATAGTTTTAACAAGCTCGACAGCGTCCGTACCTCTAGCACAGATGACTCTACAAAGCAAATTACGGAAAGTAAGGAACTCCGACGACCGGAAAACACGTAATTATGGACGACCTGTTTCACCGTTGAGTAAGGAGATATCCCGCAGCGCATATGACTAGTGTTTGCCCACCTCTGACACGCAAGGTGTGCTACGTTTCTGTCGCGGTCACAGAGCAAAGCTCTCAGGGACAAAAAATAGAACAAAATCAAATAATCTGGTAAGCCACATTGACCCAACTGTGAAAAACTCGGCACCTCGGTGGGATTCGAACCCACGCAGTAAGGGGAAGGCTTTAGCGCAGCCAACGCTCTAACCACCTGAGCTACGAGGCAACGTCGACGACGCGAGTTTAATCCTGCTTGGGGAGTCCACTTACAGTCCATGGCAAATGAGCATTTTCCAACGTTCACTGCTAAATTTTGTGAACCCTATATGGTTCCCCTTTATAACCGTAGAGAAATGTGTGGTTAGAGCGTTGGCTGTACTAAAGCCTTACCCTTACTGCGCGGGTTCGAATCCAACTGAGGCGCCGAGTTTTTCACAGTTGGGTCAATATGAATTATTCAAAATCTGCCAAAATATCTATGAATCGGCTAAGCGTAACAAGAAGTAATTTGTGAAAAAATTGGGCAAACTAATTTCTACCACGTTAGTGTAGCGTAAGAAGGGCAACATATCTAGGTTAGTGACAGTCTGGCCGTCGTTACGGACGATGTTCACCTACTGCAGAGTGAGAGCGGGTACGGTGACTTGTGCGTGATCTTGTTTCATAGTGATAGTAGACTTGCCCTGTATCTACTGCACTCTCTCCGCCCCCCCCCCACCCGGGGTCCGGTGTCATGCCAAAGAAGACCAGAGGTGGGAAAGGCCGCGAAAAACTGCGCCTAGACGGACCACCGCATCTCCTGGTCCACAACAAACACTGAGCAAGATTCTAACCACAACGACAATGCGGGAGCAGCAAGGATCCCAAGCTGTGCGACGTGGGCCGGTAACTGGACCTGCTACCGCTACCCGAATGTTTCTGTTTGTTACGGGTGTGCAGTCCCGATAATGCCTGCCAGAATCCGATGTGGTTCCCCTGTTGGGTCAAGACATCCATCCCCTGGCCCGTTTTGGAGGCACACAGAAGGCATAGAATGCTGTTACGGGCAGGTGACTCGGCCTTGGTAAATCCATAACGAGAATGAGTCTAATGGTTAGACGCCTTGGTCTTCTAACTAACAGGTCGCGAGTTCGAGCTCCACATGTCCCACACTTCGGGTTTGGGTATGGCTGGCTGACGACGACTAATAAGCCAGAAATGGCCATTCCAGTCTCCCTTGTCTTTTTCGGTAATAACAGTCTGCCTGAGTCAATTTGCAGAGGCGTCATCAGTCAAAAAAGAACGTGCGTGTGTCAAGAAGGAATACAGCAGTTTACCTTCCATCCCAGCAGTTCAGCCAACATCAAGACGGCGACGTCCGCGTCCTTTTGCACAAAAACGTCCGTCTTGTTGCCGGGTTTGCCCCATCTCAACGGCTTTCGTTTGAAACGAGCGACCATCCAGGTCATGACGAAAGAAAGAAAACCCTTTCACAGCAGGCAACAGAATGCGCGGGAGAGGGGGGGAGGGATGGGGAATGATTAAAAAGCGGTGCATTCAAGGGGAACTAAGATCAACACATGGAATTGGACGGACCTGGACGAAATGTGATCGAAAGAGGGGCCTTCCGGAACAGCATCCACAAAACAGAATCAGTAAACTGCGAAAAATAAGTTCGCGACTAGTTATAGTAGGTGGGCTAACTCATGAAATGTCAACTGAAATTCCGAAATGCACTTACGTCTCGAAAAGATTAATGAAGTAGCGTTGTAAACCTATTCAGCCTGCAACATAATTATATGATATGCCAGATACCTCAGGATGCCGGCTTTCGAATGAACTTCCTTCCGGCTGCATGCAAAAACTACAGCCTGTAACATATGACTACTTAAGTAGCTTGGATTTTTCTCACTGATTTTCGATGTCCCTAAAAGTCCGATTATATTTCATGGAAAACATGCATAAAATATTCATTCTTTTGCTCATTCGGTAGAAAATTACGTCCTCTTCTAATTTTATACTCGAAGAAGGGACATTATTCGGTTTTAAATGTTTCTAATTATGGGATTTAAATACCGTGAAATGGCCGTTCACAAATCGTCGTGTCTCTGCATTTATCAATGTGGCCTGTAAAGTTAACAATATGCATCAAATTCACTGCTAAATTTTATGAACCCTATATGGTTCCCCTTTATTACCGTAGAGAAATGTGTGGTTTTCCGTACGCGGAAAATATACGACTTGTAGTTTGGAAAACCCAAACCCAAGTGTAACGGTTGAGCGGGTTCAAAATTAGTCGAGAATCGGAAAATTTCTTGAAAACCAAATTATACCCTTCCTTCGAGTATAAGATTGGAAGAAGACGTAAGTGTCTACCAAATGAGCAAAAGGATGAATATTTTTATGCATGTTTTCCATTAAATACAACTGGACTTTTAGGGGCATCGAAAATCAGTGAGAAAAATTGAAGCTACTTAAGTAGTCATATTTTACAGGCTGTAGTTTTTGCATGCAGCCGGAAGGAAGTTCATTCGAAAGCCGGCATCCTGAGGTAACTGACATATCATATAATTATGTTGCAGGTTGATTAGCTTTACAACCCTTTTTAATTAATCTTTTCGAAACGATAACGCATTTCGGAATTTCGGTTGACATTTCATGAGTTAGCCCACCTAGTTACATTTTGAATCCCATCGAAATGAAAACAATCAGCCCCACGGCCGACAACGTTCGTACGAGAGGGGAGGGTACTTATGAGAAATGAGCCCGAAGATGGAAAGGGAGACACGACAGAATCCATTTTCGGAGAGTTAAACAAGGTCAGACTATCGATCAGCATTGGAAAAAAAACGGAGCCCGCCGACTGAAGACTGCGACGCGACACAAACAACCCTTTTTTAAACAAGGTACCCATCCCGTACTCCGTATTATAGTCCCTACAAACAGGACGGAAATCCGTCACCTGTCCTACCTGCGGCAAGCAGCAAGAGTTTTCAAACATAAATAAACGAGAGGTGGCGAGCATACGCAGCTTTCGATACATTCTCGTCGAGCCAGCATAGTGGTCGAAGATCAACTAAGGCTTCAACTCTACTGGGCCCTTCCGCTCTCACCCCGTCCCTGACACTGCCTGCTATCACCCCCCCCCTCCCCTCCCCACATTCACACTCCCCGCCTGTGTTTTAGCGAGAACTTTTATCGATTTCTCTTATCGCTGACATGTTTTTGCCTTTACCCCGTTCCCATATAATTGTACTGGCCCGACAAGAATTTATCAAAAGCTACGTAGGCTTGCCACCTCGTCTTCTGATTACTGCTATGGGAATTTTCGAAACTGTAAATAAGTACTTTTGGTGAAAGACCCAGGAAGACAGGTGGCAGACTTCAAGGGCAAGCTTATGAGTGTATGGAAATCACGTTGTTGCAATCTCACACGAGGTGCCAGTTGTGCCTGCATGATACCGCTGTGAGGGGTTCGGCCGACGGCCACGCACATTGACGTTAACCCAGGTGGCTCCGTGCAGCACTGCAATTAGCAGATTTGCAATGATTGGAATGCAAGAGCAAACTTCGAAAACAAATCATGTCAACATCCTTAGCAACTTCAAACAAATCGTGAAAGCTGGCAGAAGCCAGTCAAAAGGGCATACATGCCACCAGTCGGTTTTATAAATGCTTTTCTTCCCTACAGCCTTAGGCAAATTTGGCAGAACCATATTCAAAAGAGCAACAATTCAGGTATTCCACAACTTGTCAGGCGAATTCCTTTGTGGGGTGATCTACAGTCAGGCTTTCGTCTTACTTGACGTTGCGTGGGCCCACGTTCGCTTCTCAGGGTATTAGCGTGGCAAAGCAAGGCTGCGGCGACTATGCGACTGGGTGCAGTTGCCCAACTGGCATAAAGTTCTTGTCTACGCGTTCCAAACTCGTGCTGGGTCCTGGGCCTGAATAAACCGAGCTCGCTTGCGGGGAGGGATGTACACGTTTTGAGCCAATCGTAGCGTTGGTCCTCAGTCAGTCAAGGCACAGATGTCTTTGTAGAACAGTTGATGTACAATAGATGTGCTATCTAATGAAATG